CCTGGTGCCGGGCTGCTGTGAGGGGGAACAGGCATGAGCAGAGCACCTCCAGGCCCAGGTAAGATCCATCAGGACTGAGAGAACCTAGATGTGGTTTTTGTATGGCCAGTGTCACCTCAGTTCTGGGCAATGCTGCCCCAGCGAGCGCAGGACCCCAACGCACACCCCTCACAGGAGCAAGAGCCACACGAGCACAGAGCTGCAGCAGAGATACAAACAATAACCAGGTGAAAGTCCCAACTATGGCTTTACTAAGCCAGCTGATACAAACAAAACAAAGAGGACATGCAAAACGTTCTCCAGTCACCTTCATGCTACCGATTCCATCCCCCTGGGCAGTGCCAAACGCTACCAAAATCACCTCCACAGGCACAAGGAGCTTCGTAGCTGCCCGTTCAGCTACCCAGCACGCTGGTATCCTGAGCATAAAAGGAGTTGTGCTTTCACAATCCAACCTGAACCGACCAGCACAGTTTATACAACTCAGACTGCAGTTTTCTACAGCTTCCTAAAAGTACTTTGGGGCTGATGACACACATTTAGTGCCTAGCAATTAAAAACGGCTTTCACAGCACGGAATAAAGTCTCTGTGAATTATTTACTACTGTAACTATTCTTACTACACACCAACACGTGAACCAGCATACAATCCCCTTGGTCAGTCTGCCCTGCGATGTGCTCCGGACCCAAGACCTCGTTCGTTGTCTCTGCCGGGCTCATTTGGCTGGAAACATCCAAAATAAAGCCCAGGGGTTGGTCCAGAGTGGTTTCCATTTGAGCTGCCGTTTTCTCACAGGAGATAAACTCCTTGGTATTTTCTAATTACACGGCGTGGTCTCACCAACCCAGGATTTGTGTTATCCCACCCTCAGGATCACAAAGCGTACCGATAGTTATTCCCACTCTCCTCTCTCCCTGCACACATCTAACCCGCAAGCCGTGCGGTGAAGTTGGTCTTCAGTTCCACCACTCATTCTGGCAGCACTATTTCCTGGCTATTTAGGCAAAAAGCAAGCCGGTAATTTAGAAATCACACGGTAACGGAATGGTGCTGATTTTCCCACTCTTCACCGGTGATTAACAACAAGACACAGCGGGAGTTTGAGACATGGACTTGGTTTGCAAAGCTGGCACTTAGGGAAAAAAGCGCCTTGCAGACTGCCTGTAACTGAGTTATTCCAATGCGTATGTATTTTGTAAGATGAGTTTTCAGGCTGCAGTCACAATTCAGAGGCATCAGGACAAAATCACCGCTATTACACTACCTCATAATTTAATCGCTGCCATTCCTAGTAAATACGGCTTTTAGTTTTGCTGTAAAGCATGGAATTATCACATTTAGGCTTTTTTTCCACCCGAACAGCTGAGAACGAAGCCAGGAAACCCTATGGCTCTTGTGAATGCTGTTTTCATTCCTCCCTCTGATCCTACCTGACACCAGAGTTAAATGGCTTGTCACTCTGCCCGCACCCGTGGAGTGATGCTAAACCACCGGTATCCTCACGCTCTTTCCAGATCTGGCAGTACCTCCTCCTGAACACCCCAAAAGGAGCAGAATTTGTTGCAAAATACCACCGTTTCCTTACTTAGGGTTACTTTTAAGCAAGTTTAGATATCTCTACATTTAAGCAGCTTCATAACGGCAAGGAAGGAAGAGTGGAAGCCATCGCTGAAAGATAATTTTTAACACACAAGAGGCTTTGTGCTGAAGATGTCAACAAGAAGTCACGGGAAGAAGCGTGGTTTTAAGATAAGATGCAAGAAACCAGGCTCTGAAGTTGCACCTGAGAGGACAGCTACAGGAGACGCTGGGTTTTCGTCCCGCGAGGTATCTCATCCAACACGTCCCGTTTCAGGGCTGGAACCAAAAAATGAAGTCATGGGGATCGTTGTTCCTGTTACCCCGTTGTCTGAACCGCTCAGGGAAATGACGACGTGCTTGGGAAGTTCCAGCCACGCAGCTCCCAACAACTTCTGATTAATTCAGCCTGTCTGGTTTTCCTAAGCTAATTGCGAATAGCAAATGCTGTGGCAAAGCAATTTTTGTAAGGGCCAGAAGGATGAATTAAGTGAGCACGGAAATCAGGAACTTGGTAAGGAAAGAAAAAAAAAGACGGAGGGAGAGAGTCATTAACAAAGAGCAATATTCTATCATCCAGGCCAAGTATTTCTGTTCAACGTGCATTTATTTTGCTCAGTGTTCAAAATGGTCTATTTACAGCTAAGTGTGGTATTTCCTTATACGCTGTGATTCCTGGCACTAACTCCAGGGCCTCCAAGAAGAGCCACCAGCCTGTTTGTCCACCCAAACCCCTGCGATAAGGAAAGAAGCTTTCTGAAGAGCAGACGTGGTTCATCGCCTGGTTTTCTTCCCCTGCTCAGCCCAGTAACTGGAGGCACACACTGCAGTCACTCTTGGTGGAGAAACAGCTTCGCCGTGTGACTGCTGGAGTTGGGTGGTTGTCACGTGGAAAGCAGGCCTAAAGCTCGCAAAGAACAGGAACTCAAAATGAACCTGGAACTTGAATCAACTCAGTGTTTTCAGTAGTCACTGACTTGGGTTTTTCGACTCCACTTAGAGCAGAAAATACAACCAAACATCACTGGTTACAGGCTGTGAGAAACCGGTCACCTCGGCTGTAACTGAGGTATCAAAGGCTGCCCTTCCCTCCCCAGTAATGAGCAGAACAGGAGAGGCCAAACAGGGCAAGAAGGAAAAGAAACCCCTAAGGAGGAAAAGAAACAGACAGCTGCCCCACCAACGTCCCCGAGCAGTGAGATCCCCCCTAAAATGAAGCACATTGAGGCGAATCGAGCCCGCACACGGGTGCTTGCTGCGACCTGGCGCTGTGTCAGGACAGCACCAGCCCCTGCTGGACCCAAACTAGAGCAAAACTGAGAAAAACGTAGTTTCAATTCCCGGCACAAGACAGCAGCTGGTTTCACAAGGACCCCACGTGCCCTACCCAAGCACATGAACACGCCGTGAATTTATTTCACACCCCTTCTGCCCGCTGCTCTCGCAGCCATCACGTGCTGGAGACGCCCAGCACGACCCGATCGAGATCTCCACCACATCCCATTCTGCTTCTTGCATTTATCAGCAGCAAGAACACCAACTTCCACGCTGCCCTCGTGACTTCAGAGAAGCAAGATTAAGACATTTCTTAGCGTGTTTGTTAAATCCTCTAACCGCCTGCCAAGCAAGAAAAGGAGAAACCTGAAATTATAAATATCTCAGGCGGTGCAACCTGGCCTTGGTGGAATGGATTTCCCACACCGGGCACGTTCCGGATGCCTGCAGCCATCATCGCAAGTGACCGCCAGCAAAGCAGCTGGAGGTAGGCCTCTGAAGTCCCCCTTCTCCCGACGTGCAGCTTTAAACCTCCTTATGTTTCTCCAGGAAGCGTTCCTAAATCCCCGTGCTGTGAAAAGCAGATTCCTAAGGAAATCTCTTTAATGTCTGGCCCAGCCTAGGCCAAGGCCCACATGTGTCTTACACACCCCGTGCTGGAATTGTGGCACAAAAACTGCAAAATATTTCCGAGCATAAATAAAATCGCTAAGATACTGCCATCGCAGGAACAGAAAATCCTGGTAAGACGTAGAATAAGCAATGACAGATGGAAAGAAATAGAATATTTTCCTTTGAAATACAGCCAGAAATGTAAAGGCTTAAAAGGAGAAAAGCAAGCAGACATGTGCAGGTTTCTTCTTTTTGCAACTTCCTATTTGGCTCCTGTAACATCAGTAAACTCTGGGCTTTTTCTACCTTCATGGCAATGTGTTACCATCCTATAGATCCTACACATTCCCCTTTCCTATCCTGGCCATATTTCTGGCCACAAATGTGCCAGAACATCACCACTACCAGGTAATGCAGCTTCATCAAGAACTTGTGTTGTCATCACAACCAATTTGAGGAGGTGACAAAAGGGATGGGGACAGCTGCTAATTTTGGTTGACCTGGACAGAGAAGCCTGGCGCTGCTCGCATGGGTACCACCGTGCTGCTGCACCTTCAGGTCTCGAGGAAAACCTGCAGCTTGAAGGAAAACGCACTGAATTTTAATGCTGCCCTTACAACACGCTGGCATTCAAAGTGGTTCGGCATCTCCAAAGAAGGCGGAGAAGGATTTTAAACAGGCACGTTTTAGTGCAATGCAGATAGAAGTTCGGTGCAGTTAGGAGAAGTCGCCAGGACACGAGAAATCTGAGCAGATCCTAAAGCAGGCCTGTTCACCCCAGCCCAACAAAATCCTACACAGCATCAGTCCACTAAAACCCCGCTACCTAACATTATCAGGACAGGAATCATTATTTAGCTCCTGCATGCAGAGAAGAAAATCGTTACTCTTTTTGGTAGCTATTATCGCGTTATTAAAATATTTCAGCAATGTTTTGAAGAATTTACCTTCTGGAATGTAATTCTCTGCTATCAGCTTACACCATCTGCAGTAGGAAACGGAGCGCTGCTGAGCTAAACCGTGCACTTTCTACTGAAAACAGATGAAGCCCAGTTGTGAAGATAATGGTCCAGCTGAACTTCTGAGTTAATCTTAAAATATACCACTACTCAAATTCCTGCCTTTCAACAGCAAACCCAGTCGCTGGTCAGCAGACCAGCAGCAGCCAAGGCAGTACCAAAATCCTCCCAAAAACACATTAAAATAACAGCCAGAATTCCCATGCAGCTCCCGAGCATCAGCAACCTGCTGACAGCCACACACCAACATCACTCCTCTACTTCCTTTCCTCTTCAAGCCTTTTCTTTTGCAAACATCCAGCCACCAAACCTTCCTGAAATCAGAGAAGAGCTCTGCTGGCCAGCACAGGCAGAGAGTTAAACACGCAAAGCATTTACACGGATGCTCCTAAACCAATATTGCTTAATTCACCTGACTTGAATCACTGGAGAACAAGGAAAATACTTTTCCTGTGTTAAAATAAAGAATTGCTCCGTTCTGCTCTGGTCCTCAGCGTTCGGCACGCCCCTCGTACCTCCACCCAGACTTTGCCACGACCCCTCTGTGTCCTGCAGTCGCACAACTACTTCCCGGGGCTGCCGAGCTGTCCGCTGCCGTGCTCCATGCCGTCTGCTCCCAGGTCAGGGGTCCCATCCCAGAGGTGAGGCCACCTGCCGAACAGAACGCAAACCCGGCTCTGAAAACTCCTCTTCCTCAGGCGAGGCCTCCCGGGAACGGGTGGCCCTGCTCCCAAGCTGCCCAAACACACCAAAAACATTTTGATCTGGATGTCAATATTAAAGAGATTTAAATAAGAGCAAACACCAGGGAACTGAGGGAAGCAGAGCATTCATCACAGGCTGGTTACGGTATCGTTGCTGCACGTTAAGGCATTCACGTGGACAGAAGGGGTTTGCAGAAGCACCTGCCGTTCTCAAATCATGCCCACCTTCCCAGAGAGGACACCCAGGCAACTGAATTCATAAAATAAGAAGAAGCCATATCAGCACCTCTTACATCTGACCTAAACCAGGACTTAAGTAACCCAGTGAGGCTTCCATTCACATTCACCACCCAAATGCCTGAACGCCGATCATTTCTTGAAGCTCACAAAGAAATACGATGACAAATGACAACAACCACCTAAGACCTCAACTTGCGAGCCCAGCCAGGATGTTCAGACCCAACCTGCGTCCCACCAGGCCCCCACACCACGTCCTGCAGCCGCTCCGTCCTTCCAAAGCACGAGCATCCAGCCTCACCACTGCCACGATGGGCGCCTGCCCTTGGCCCCATAGAAAAACCTGCCTGTGGAGCAGAGAAATTTCCCCCGCTGCTCTCATCAGCTGAAAAGCCAGCGTTTGCAGGCTCCAACCACCTCGGGCAGCTTCGCAACTGACGTTACCGACGGCTGTGCCACCTCAACCACAAACCACGCTGCCTTGTTCACGCCGTGCTAGAGGAGGAGGCTCGCCAGCTGATCAGCAGGCAGGGTTCTTGGCTTTTAGGGCAGCCCGAAAGGTGTTGATGCTTGTGGGGAGTAATTAACGCGGACGCAAAGGCTACGTGGAGACAAAACACACTACAAAGACGCTGCTTTTTGCAGCCGTTCCCTGATAAAGGCTGGTTAAATATAGCAGCAGCCGCCCTGTCAAGTTAGGAAACCACCCCTTGGGTTTTAGCACTGCTTCGGACCTGCAGTTCATCAGTGCAACACCACAGAAATTTGGGTGGAAAAAGGACGGACTTGCAGCACCTCCCCTTCATTTAAACAACATAGACAATCCCCAAGACCAAGTAACGGATGGAGGGAAGAAACATTTATTTATGCTTGCAAACAGCTGTGAGTCAAAGCCTCACCTCCACGCTGGGGGCTGGCCACACCGCAGGCTGCTCAGCCAACAGCAGGACACGTTTCTCTAAGTCCTCAGAGCACCACGAGCAAACCGCAGAAAGCTGCTCAATAAAATTAAACTTCTTTGCATTCTGTACTCTATCGACATCTATCTATTTCACTCCAGCTTCTGTCGCCCCTCTTTTCTCCCTCCCAAAGCAGAGAGTACTTAAATTATTACAACTAATTCGTTAATGCAAATTAATTTGGTGCCTATTTCTCGGAATCTCTTAGATTAGGACTCCACCAGTTTCTACCAAAGCTAAACAAAACAGTAAACAGCGATGTAAGCAGCCCAAAACCAACAGACACCTCAAAACTTTAAAAAAAACCTCTAATAAAATTGTTGTAACTGTAATAATTTCCACTTAAATGCAGCTGACACTACATAAGAACCTAAATAGGTACAATCCTGACGGGTTTCAGAAGGAAAATCAAGACCTTCTGGGCTGCGTTCACATCTGGCTCCTGGTGAGAGCTTCACTTGCCCAAGGAAGCGGCTGAACCACCACCGGGTGAGCGTGGCCTGCAAGTTTTTGCCTCAGCAGCAGCAAACCCATGTGGTATTTAAACACAGACACAGCGTTTTTATTTCCTAAAGATAAACCAGCACAGGAACATTTGTCAGACATTAGCTGGGAGAATTATTTTATACTGCTGCGTGATCATGGACCCGATGGACGCAGTTTTCTTGAGCTTTACCGCATGAGAACGGCCGTTAAGCACAGACAGCTCTACGGCAACGTCTCTCAGCACACATTACCCCAAAATTAACACCTCCACAAAAACAAACCTTAAAAAAAAAAAAAAAAAGGATAGCACCGGCTAGCTTTCCCTTCACAGGCACGGAGGGTTTCCACCTTGCTCTCCAAGGCGGGGACGGCTCCCCCAGCAGCAAAGCCCACGGCAGCGAGGTATTGATGAAGCAGGAGGGCAGGAGCGCGGCGTTATCAGCGACCCCACCGTGGCTGCTCCATCCCGGTGCGTTCGGCACCACCAGGATTTCCTGCCTGGAATTCTTAATGCGAGAGCCACGGAACACCGCGCAAATAATTAGAATAATGCTGCCTTCGCAAGTTTCTGGTTTTAAAGCTGGATTTGCTTGCCGGTAATACGCCGCTCGTTAAGCGCGGCGTAATCTGAGCAGTTACGAATCATTTTTAAAAAAAAAAAAATTCAGCAGAACAACGGAAGGAAGGGGAAGCAAAAACCCTCTGAGATCCCTCCAGCGAAAGCCAGTCATGGTGAATCACAGTCCCCACGGCGCACAAACGGCTTTCATTTAGGATTCACCTTTCCAGGGCCTGTGCTTTTGTCTCTTTCTCAATCTTTACAGCCCTGAGCCGAGCCGGAGGATCCAAGCCCCTAAAACGCTGTGGGGCGGCGGAGGAATGCGCATGTGGGCGGCAGATGAGGAGGAGGAAGAGGAGAAGGAGAAGGAGGAGGAGGAGGAGGAAGGGGTTCCCACCCCCCCCAAGCAGGAGCTTCCCAGGGAAGGCGCCGCAGTGCTTCCCAGCGCCGCAGCACGGAGGGATGGATGCTGGCTCCCGACCCACCCGGGGCTCGCCCCGTGCCCACAGCCCCAGCCCCCGGTGCTCCCCCCTCCCTGGCCCCCATTTGGGCCTCAGGGTCCCTCAGGGCTCAGCCCCCATCCCCTCAGCCCCCACAGTTTCCCTTCAGCCCCCTCAGTCCACAACCTCCCTCCCAGAGCCTCTTCAGGCCCAGCCTCGCCTCAGCTCCCACTATTTCCTCAGCCTCCATCCCCCACAGAGCCTCCTCAGGCCCCCCAGGACCCCCTCAGCCTCCCCAGAGCCCCCTTTGAGCCCCCTCAACCTCCTCAGAGCCCCCTCAGGCCCAGCCTCGCCTCAGTCCCCAACCTCCCCTCAGCCTCCATCCCCCCCGAGCCTCCTCAGGCCCCTCAGAGCCTCCCCTAGAGCCCCCCAGAGCCCCCCTAGAGCCCCCTCAGGCCCAGCCTCGCCTCAGTGCCCCAAATCCCTTCAGCCTCCATCCCCCCCTGAGCCTCCTCAGGCTCCTCAGAGCCCCCCCAGAGCCTCCTCAGCGTCCCCTCAGCCCCCAACCTCCCCTCAGGCCCTGTCCCCTCGGCCCCCATCCCCCCTTGAGCCCCCCCAGAGCCTCCCCAGCCCCCCCAAAGCCTCCCCAGGCCCCCCAAAGCCTCCCCAGGCCCCTCAGAGCCCCCTCAGGCCCCCTTTAGGCCCAGCCTCGCCTCAGTCCCCAACCTCCCCTCAGCCCCGTTCCCCCCCCCTCACGCCACGGCTGGGCCCAAACCGAGGCCCGTACCGAGCTTGAGGCCGTACCGGGGCTCACCTGCACCCCCCCGCGCTCGTTGCCAGTACCGGGGCTGAAACCGAAGCCGGTACCGGGGCCGGGCAGCCCCGGGCGGGGCGGAGCGACGCGGGGGCGGCTCCGGGAGGCGGCGGCGGCGGCGCCCCCTGAGCGCTCCTGACGGGACCCGGCGACGCCGACCGCGGGCGGGCGGGGGAGGGGCCGGAGCCGCGCGCACCGCGCATGCGCCGCTCCTCCTGCGCGGGCGCGCATCGGGGAGGGGGGGGAGAGGGGAGGGGGGGCGCATGCGCAGTGAGGGGGGGGGGGAGAGGGAGCAACAAAAGGGAACTTCTCTGACCGGGAATCGAACCCGGGCCGCGGCGGTGAGAGCGCCGAATCCTAACCACTAGACCACCAGGGAGGGATGCGAAGCTGGGCCGATCGTGGTGCTTTGAGCTCGGCATCCTGACAGGGCTGAGGGGAGCGGGAACTGAGTGGAATCACACAGAATCACAGAATGATAATGACGGAATTTCGAGGTTGGAAGAGACCTCGAGATCATCGAGTCCAACCTCTGAGCTAACACCAACAGTCCCCACTAAACCATATCCCTAAGCTCTACATCTAAACGTCTTTTAAAGACCTCCAGGGATGGTGACTCCACCACCTCCCTGGGCAGCCTGTTCCAATGCCTAAAAACCCTTTCGGTAAAGAAATTCTCCCTAAGATCCAACCTTTGTTGCCCCTCCTCACACACCCCCTCCTTTGGGCACCCCCTCAACTCCCAGCCTGCCCCCCCCCCGGGCTGGGGGCTCTCGCCCGCCTCAGGAGCTGGTTCATTTTTAATAAACAAGCTTCGGTTTATAATTAGAGGCGAGCAGGTCGATGTGAAGCTCGGGGTCGGGGTGTTTGTCCCAGTTATTCAGGTTTCCCCCTGGGAAGGGTGAGATCCCAGCAGCGCCCTGATGGAGGGTCCCGGAGGGGGTGACCCCAGGGACGCTGTGGGGACGCTGCCCCCGGCCGCTTGTCCTGGCTTCAGCAGGGCCCTGCTGGCTCCTGCCATCCCCGTGTGGCTCCTCCAGCCCTTCCTGGCTGTGACTCATGTTTCAAAGAAACAAACGGAGCCAAATCCCCTTTGCCAAGGGAGGCCCAGCCGCTAATCACCCCCCATGTGCCCTCCTACGCCATGGCCGGCTCCCCACCAGGCTGGCACCAATCCCTCAGGGAACAACTGGTCCATTTTGCCCCCAAAATGTAGGAGGTTGCACCCCAGGACCCCCAGGCACACCCCAACGAGACAAAGGGATGCTGTGGGTGAGCGCTGCGCTCCCCCGGCTGCTCCCCCAGCCCAGGATCCCAGGGAGTTCTTCCCCTCCTGCGACAATAAACACCCAAACCCTTAAAAACAGGCTTTCCTCACTTTTAGCTGGGAGTGGGAACATTGTGCCTGCAGGGAAGAGGGCTTCCTTTAGCTTTTTGCAATCAGTTTGCAGCTTTGCTGTTTGTCTGCTTCACGGGAAAGCGACGCAGCTCCCTCCATCTCACACCGCTCCCCACGAAGCCTCTGCGCCTCGTGCTCCTCCATAAACCTTCCCATTTATCAGGGCTGGATGTTCACCGCCTCCTGTAAAGTAACACAAATTACAGCTCTGTCCCACTGGGGCTGCCACCAGAGCCCACACAGAAGGGACCTTCCCATGTTGGAGCCTCCTCCCCTGTCACAGCTGGGGCTGCCAGGGCCCCAAAGGGGAAAAAAAAAAAAAAAGTGTTTTTTTTTCTTCCCTCTGAGAGCTGCCAGGAGCGCTCCTGGAAACCAAGAGGTGACAAAAACACTGCCGAGCCCGTAGGCAGGATGCTAGGTGAGGTTTAATTAGCCTTCCTCCAAGCTACATGAGGTCTCTTGCTGGCAGGTCCCTCGCTGCTCCATCTCCTCCACAAATTGCTCTGCCTCCAGGTGCTGACACCAACCCTTAGACCTGGTTGCAGGGATGGAGTTTTACACACCAAAGTAGGGAAAAAAAAAAAACAAAAACACATCAAACCAAACCAACAAAACCCCAAACCCCACAAAAACAAAACCCTCACCAACCGAGCAGATGGCTCTAACCTCACCAACTTCTCCCTCTGCAAGCCCAGCACCACAAGCAGCTCAATTGGAGAGCAGCTCCCAGCTCAGGTCACACACTCGCTGCTTCCACGGTGCTGCTTCACTCGGCAGTGACTGCCAGAGCTTCCAAGAAGCCGATTCCCTGAGGTAGCACGCTGTAAATCTGAGCCAGCAGCACAGCTGCTGCTTTTCCACGTTACAAGTTTCCCCAGCCTCAGCCCCGCGCCCCAAGCTCAGGAAAGAGGCGCGAGGAAGCTCGAGGCACGTCGGGTTCACCTGCAGCACCAGTGGTGAAGGAGCAACGCGCTTCGCTTGGAGGAAACCCACAGGTTTGTAACTGGCTGAGCTATGTCTCCAGAACCAGGCAGTGCTCAGCATCTTGAAAAGGAAAAATCAGACCACAAACCATACTGAACAAGTCACTTTATGAGAAAGCATCCAGGGAACGATGCACAAACAAGTCAGGGGGATCACTGCAGGTGGCTGGGATTCGCCTGACATGCCCATAACACACCTCAGAGCAGAGTTCAGTGCCGTTAGATAGAATGAGTCAAAAACATTCGGCTTGTTTTCTCCCAAAGGAATGCTTTATTGACAAGTTTCCTCGGTATTTATCTGTGAAGAGAAACAGTTCAAGACCCACGCTCCAGCAGTCCCCGTTTCACTGGCTCTGCTCCTCGCACGGAGGCCAGTTTTAGTCAAACGAGGAGGGCTGGTAAATGACACACCACGCTCTGCCTACTGCCTAGCACATCTGCCTTCTACTGCCTCATCGTGTGTCCCCGGATCAGCAGAGGGAAGGGAGTGGGGATGGGGGAAATGGAGATTTAATCAGCAAAGTGTCAAAACTTGCTTCTCTAAAGAAAGGGCAAAGATGGTCCAGTCCCTCCAGGGTGATAAAACTACTAAAACTACCCAGATATGTACATAGGCGAGTCTAAAGACCTGAGCAAGTCCCACTTGGCCTCTAAGGCACAGAAACACTCACTGCAGGTGTATTTATTTGGAGGCATCTTGCCTAGAAGAAAATCAGGCCTCTGTAAGAAAGCTTACAATGTTTCAGCTCCTGAGCAATGAGCTCGGACCTCGGAAGAGCAAAAACACCTATCTGCTTCGGGAACTGGTCGAGCTCTGTGACTCTGCTGGGTTTGTAAACCAAGATCCCAGCCGGGGCTTTCGACTGAACGACCCCCACAGTCCCAGTCAGATGTACCAGACGGAGGAGCCCACGGAGAGCAGAGCAGAGTCCCTCCAGCACAGCGTCCCTAATTGCCAGCAACAGCTCTGTCCTCGTTAAACCCGGCCCTGTTGCTAGCAGCCTTCAGGATTTCTTCCTCCGGGAATGAAGGCATAAGCTGAGAAGGGAGAAGCAAGTTTTATACACTCAGGCAACAGAGTGCACCACTGAAAGTTAACACAAGAACTGGCTTCTAAGCATGCTGCTACTACTGAACGATGCAAAAACTCCAGTGCTCAATATCCAGCTTTATAACCCTTACAGTCCTCTCTAGAGAAAAAAAAATCATAAACGAGTAAAGCATAAGGTGATGTAAGGCTTGCAATTCAGTTTCAAAGTCCAAGGGAGCATTTCCCTAATATGATGCCGAAGCTTTTTTTTCTTAAGCTTTATTTCTTTAAAGTTCGTTGCATTTAAAAATAAAGATTTTAGTTTTGTTAAAGCTAGAGCATTAGTGTAACAACGAGGCAGCTGCTAAGTGAAGTTTCCCTTTTAGGAGCCCAGAAAAAAAAAACACACGTAACTATTTACCCCTTTTAACAGATTTCTCCAATGAGAGCCAGAGGAAGCAGTAATGGGAGAAGCCTGGGAGATTGCTGAGTTGCTACATGGCATGCCCTGAGCAGAGAACATAGCCAGAAGCTGAAGCTAAAATGCCCATGCACTTGGCTTCTCCTGTGACTGCCCTCCTCACGCTGCACGGGGCAATTGATCTGCTCCCAGTTGTGACAGACGTGGGAAAAACTGCTTTTTCTGAGCCAGCGGCGTTTCTGAGCTACTTCAAGGAAACTCCATCTTAAGTGCTCTCCCAAAAGGACAGCACAGTGATACATTTCATCTACAAAGTTTAGTGTAAAATATTATTTGTGTACAAAACTTTGCATTCTCTTTATTTGACTTAGATCCAGCAGCAGTGTCTATGAATGGATTATGGATCTCTCCAGACTGGTTCTCAGCCCCTTCATGGATTGGCATGTTGTTGCTGTTGTGAAGAGTTGGGAGGGAGGAGGCTCGCTCTCGGAGTTGTGCACAGCTGTGCAAAGCCACACCGCAGGTCTAGAAAGGAGCGTTGTCTTGTGGAGGCTTGTCCCCAGCTCCCGAGGGGGAGTGGAGGCCATCGGTGCTGTTTTCCCTGCTGCCCACCACTCTGGACTGAAAGGAGAGAAGCGAGTTAGGATAACAAGAAAGCAGCACTGAGAACACCAAGGGAATTCTCCCTCGTCAAGGTCACCCGCTGTAGCAAAGACTTTGCATATCTGAGAGGCCGTCTGGCCAAATACTAGCCCACGAGAAAAACAGCTCAGAAATCAAAGTTTCCGCTTAAGGCTTCACAATGTGCGTTTCCAAGACAAAGCAGACTGTTACCTTTATGGTCCCGACTCTATCTTCAAACGACTTGAAGGTTGCAGAATTCCTTGAAGAATGGGAAGAAGAGAAAAAAAGACAAAAATCAAGACAAGTTAGCTCTTAACCGAACCAAACCACACCGTGTGACTGGTCTCTCTGGGCATTCCCATGCAACGCCAGTGCCAGCAGCACTCAGGAACACTTGCAGCTCCTCACCACGCTGGCCTTTGGCATGAATATCTCAGGCACACCAGACAAAACACCACGAACAAAAACTCTGAAGGAAAACATTTCTACCATGTGCAATTGCTTGATTGCTCAAGCTGAAAAGTTGAGGGAAAAAGCCCTAGTTCACTAGGGAATCAACGCACGATACGGAGAGAAGAAACTAGTCCTTAGCTTTACAATGTCTCCAACTAAAAGCTTGCTTTATTAAATAATGGAAAAGCTGAAAAGGGATTAAAAAAAAGGCTTCAGTTTCCCACATTGCATCCTGCTGGCAGGAAGGGGAAGGGCCCTGTGCCTGAACCTATGGGCAG